GTCCCAAGTACGACCCATTCAATTTCAAAGTGAGTGAAATTAGTCAAATCTTTAAAAAAAGAAAGAAAATGTTTTTTAAATTATTATTTCTGCTAAATTAGATATTACTCAATTTAAGTGCATTGATCATTTGGTAATAAAAATCATATTTTATTTATCAAACCATATACATTTGTGTGTGTCCCCTAAATAGTTGTCCCCCCTGTAGTATTAAGGAATATGCCTACTTAAAGGTCCCATGTCATGGCCATTTCTAATCATAATTCCATTGTTGAGGTCTACTAGAATAGATTTACATTGTTCAATTTTCCAAAATCACATTGGTTTTCTCATACAGCATCTCTGTAAAGTATGTGTATTCACTCTCTGTCCTAAACGGCTTGTTGGAGCTCCTGCCCCCCCCCCCTCCCTATGAGCCCACTGTGCTCTGATTGGTCAACTCGCCCACTCTGTTCTGATTAGTGAACCACCGTTACAGCTGAACATCAGTGATTATGTGTTACAATGGCGTTTGTTAGCAACCAGAAAATGACACCAGTAATGACAAACAGATGAGAATGCTGCGTGTGGTCTGGCTGTGTGCGGAGATCCGCGGAGCCGTGGCTGAGAAAAGATAAGGCTGAGTGAGTGTGTGTGCCGGCGAAGCTCCATGGAATACCACGGCTGAGAAAAGATAAGGCTGAGTGAGTGTGTGTGTGTGAGGAGCTCCGTGGATTGGTCCATTTGGACCTGGGTATCGTTACGTCACTATACCCAGGAAGAAAAAAATGGAAAAAGAAAAATCTCCAACGAGGCGTTCTGGGGCAGCATACACAGGTATTTTCTGTGTTAGAGTTTTACTCGCTACAGGTTGTACTTTGAGGGTTTGTGACTTTGCAGACCGTTTACATGCATACAAAGCTACATAACACACAAGGGGACGGGTAATAACCGGAAAAGCATGACATGGGACCTTTAAAGAAAAGCAATACACTCTTGTGACATTTCAAAGGCAAGTTTTTTTTTCTTTCTTCCCTCTCTTCTATGCTAATTGTCCAGCTCATATCGGCTTTTTTTTATATTAAAAAAAAGGTTGTTGATCGTTGCATACCTTACAAAGTTTGTTAAGAGATGTAGTTTGTGTTTTAACAACAATTGTATCTGTCAAGTTCAAATCCCTTAATATCTTTCTAACATGAGAAGTTAGTGTGTAATGCATCTAGTGGCACCAAGTGGCTACAACAATAAAAACCTGCCAGCCACATTTGGCAACTTACCCTTCTTCAGACATGTTTGGCTTCGTGAACGTGTTTAAACAAAGGAAGTTAAAGCAAGTGTTAAAGCAATTGGGATTTAATGAGGATGACCACTTGTTTTGTCTGAGTAAACATCATTATGTTACCTGGTGTGGACAGAAAGGTAAAGAATACCAGCATTCAGCCGCTACTGCAGTAAACGTGGTCTACTTTAAAGTTAACTGAACCAAGAAGGGGAGAGTTTGTTGTTTTTCTGTAAATCCAAAATATGTTGACTATAAATTGAAATGGTTAAATAATAGAATCCCTGGCAACACTGTTGTGGACCACGCCACATTACTTGAAATAGACTGTTTTGTTCATACGTTTATGTCTATATTGTCATAGTTGTTGAATTGGACGGAAGTGTTTTGACTCAAAATGCCACTAATGACATGTTTGTAAAAAGCAACAGGACATTGGCTGTGAGAGCAGGAAAACTGTTTTCTTGGTTCCCTGTGGGAATAAACAATGGCCAAATGCTCTTTGTTTCTGCTCATCACTGCAGTCATGCTGGACTCAAGAATTCAGGCAAAGGAGGAAATATATGAAATCTTAAACATTTATTCAGGAATGCACAAAATATAGCAAATAACATACAATCTGGGTATACTTAATTCTTCAATTTTACAAATATTAGGAACAATATTCTTTTCTTAAAGTATAAAATATACATATATTGTACTGTAACAATGGACTTGCATTAAAACGCACCCTTAGACTAATGTGACACCACTACAATAGGACACAGAGTCACACTGAAAGTCATTTCACAAGGACATTGGCAATTGATTGTGCTGACGTGAACAAGGCTGAAACACACCTGACCAAAAATACACACACCTTCCCCTTTTACTGCAAAACCAGTACTGTTGTTCAGGGTGTTTTGATCATAAAATATACATACTATACAGTACACTTAGACAACAGTTTGGAAACCACCGCATAAATGAACCAAGAAAACGCATTCTGTTATTTTTCACAAAAAAGTTAAAGTAAAGGCACACCAGCAAAGTTTGGGCTCACACATAAAATATGAATACAGTCCAAAGATATCTACATGGCAACAACAAAATGTGTAACTTCATTCAAATGCAGAGCAAGAAAATGAACATGGCAGTGCACATGGTTAAGCGTTACAGTATTATAAAAGAAAAGGTTTCACCTCTTAAGGTTTAAACTAAACTTTAATTTCCACCCATCATTGCCAAACTATCATCAAAATAATTCAATATTATACAACACAATTAAAGATTATCTTAAGTGCTCTATATATATTCAATCCCAGAGAAGTATGGTAGGCTTAATGTACATGATGTCGACTTTACTTCAAACTCTGCATAACTGAGGTTTTTTATCACACATTGTATATCTAACTGTGTAAAATACTGAACAAATGAACTCCTTGGCAACTAAGGATGAAGTATGAGTGATAGTACAGTTTGTTTGCTGATGAAAGTAGATAACCAAAACAAATTGGTAGCAAAAAAGATCTAAGGGGTCAGGAAACTAATGGCGCTTTTCCACTGCAGCACGTAGCACGGTTTAAGCAGGCCGTTGTTTTTTGCTTTTCCACTAGGGGTAGTTCCGGCTCAGGGCAAATTTTTCACCTTTTTTCTGGCCCTCCAAAATCGAGGTTCTTACCGGGCCAACAACCGAGTATGCTAAACTAGTGACGTAAACACTCTCGACTGCTGAATGGTCAGAGAGAATTGCTGGCAAGGGGGCTACAACTACAACAAAATAAACATATTTTACCGTGATTTAATTGTAATACACGTTTCAAAATGACGCCGAAGTGACAACATACTGATACCGGTCTGCAGACAAGACGGCAGACGAAAAACCTTTTAAAATGCGTGTTTTCTGAATGGAGATCGGATCGATCAGGCTAAGCTAACGTTGTATATGCTCCGTCCACACTCACAACAACGGCCTACAGACATAAATAAACCAGCGACTGTGTTCGCCATGACACAGACAGTCTGTGGTTTGTACTTGTTTAACTTTTGTCTAGTTTCTGAACAGATATGAGTGCTAACAGCTAACGGCTGATGTTTTGGTTTTGTGGTTCGCATTGAAGATGACGTCACGGCAGTTTTACGCAGCGTCGCTCCGCCCGCCGAACAGCTGATCGCCCCGCCTACACTGCGTTACTATAGTTATAGTTGTTTTAGCCCCCCTTCTTTTTGCCCTGTACATGCCCCCATTGGGCCGCTTAATTAGCCAATTCAAGGGTGTCTCATATCACTGTTATGCAGATGATATCCAAATATATTTCTCTTTCAAACCCGTCAAAATGGAAAATGGAAACACCCTCATCACAAGTCCGTCTGCAATTGAGGAGTGGATGTCAAGCAACTTCCTACAGCTCAATGCATCGAAAACGGAAGTCTTGATCTTAGCGGCTGATAACATCGCCTCTAAGGTAGCAAGCCACCTGGGTTCATTCAGTGGTAACATAAGGGCAAACATAAAAAACCTTGGTGTAACTTCCGATCAGTCTATGCTACTAGACAAACACTTCAAACTTCTGACCCGTACCTGTTTTTTCCATCTCAGAAACATTGCCAAGCTCAGGGGGGTTCTATCAAATGCAGAAATGGAGATGGCTATCCATGCCTTTATTTCATCCCGGCTTGATTACTGCTCTGTTCTCCTGCCTCAACAAAACATCAATAAACCGGTTACAACAGGTCCAAAATGCTGCAGCCAGATTGCTCACTCGGTCCAAAAAAACATGCCACATCACTCCGATTCTTTCTGCCCTGCACTGCACTGGCTCCCTGTCCATCTCAGAACCCAATTCAAGGTATTGGTTTTCACTTATAGAGCTGTCCATGGCCAAGCCCCAGCCTACATCAATGACCTGATCCTCCCTCATAGCACAACCCGGGCCCTGAGGTCCTCTGAGCAAGGCCTCCGAAGGGTGCTCCGAACCAGGCTAAAAACTAAGGGGGACCGTGCCTTTGAGGTGGTGGCCCCAAGGCTATGGAACAAACTCCCCCAGAAAATAAAAACCTCTGCCTCAATAGAGATTTTTAAGGGGCAGTTAAAGACCCACCTCTTCCGACAGGCCTTTGGGGCGTCGGAGGAGGTGAGTTAGTAGCTGTCTGTTATTGGTGTTCTATCGTATGTTTTATCCTATGTATTACCTGCTGTTGTTTTATGCCTTTTTATGCCTTTTATTCTACATTTTAGTTGTACTGTGAATTGTGTACTGTACTGTAAAGCACTTTGTACATTCGTGTTGAGAAGGGTGCTATATAAATAAAGTTTTACTTACTTACTTACCCCAGTTGGTAAACTGTAATGGAAATGCAGCATAAAGTGAGCCTGGCCTAACCATACCGTACTAAGCTGTGCTAGGTCCTGCAGTGGAAAAGCGCCATAAGATCAGTTTAGGCTCTCAATAGAGAGATGTGTCTTTTCTGAAAGCTGTATCATCAATCAATTAATCAATCAATCATCAATACATTAAGGACACACTGTGCTAAAATTCATCTGTGCTGTGTCCCCATATGTATTATCCTTAGTTTCCTACAGATTTGTATGTAGTGTGCTGTTTCAAACGTTAATGGAAATTCTTTGTAAAAGAACAAATGCAAATACATTTAAAAACACGAACAGTCAAAAACCTGTTGAATGCTTGAAGAATAAAACAAGCCTTTACTGTAAATCTTTCACCAAATATAAAAAAATCTCTTTAGGAATAATTAAATTCACCTCATATTGACTTTGTGCTTCTTCCACTGCGATGACATGATTAACACTATGAAAGATTATTGCTCTGGTTTCATATTCTAGTTTGAAAAGAGCAAGCGTTCTGGATTTCAAATGTATTTTTCAAATACATATGAGCAGGAAAAAAGAAAAGTGTGCTTATGTGTGATCATGTACAGTATTTACATGAATGTTGCAGTGAGAGTTTGAGTTAAGGCCACTTAATCTGGTCCCAGTTTGGCGATCAGTTCGTCGCAGATCTTAGTGAGCTCCTCAATCTCTTGATTCTGTGAGAGACAGAAAAAGAAAGGATGTTTACAAATGAGTGGCAAAGCTTAAATGTCAGCTCAGAAACACAATTCTGCAAAGATGAAAAGGTTTAAATGTAGAGAGAACATGTTTTTTTCAATAGCTCCCCTAAGACTCGATGTGCAACATTTGAAGAGGATTAATCAGTCGTTCTGTGTTTAATACTAACTGTAAATGCAGTAATTGTTGCATTTGTTAGGGCTCTCCTTTAACTTCCCCAGAGGCTGGTGTTAGTAAACACTGCCCCCTAGTGTTGGAAGCCATGCCAGTGTGTTGGCAGACATGCATTTATAACTCTGTGCTGAATGCCTGCACACAATGAACTACTTACAGTGATTTTTTACAGATCGCTGTAATTGAAGCACTTATGAAATCACCGTATTTAACACCATCATTTACATTTTAACATTGCGAGCCACAGGGGTGGGATTTCGCTATAACATGTGATCTGTTATTGCACCAAACGATACTTTTCCAAAGCAAAAAAAAACAAAGTTCCTCTTGGTGCAAAACAAGTAAAGAGCTGAGGGGAAGACAAATGATCATTTTCACTAAACTTAAAAACAAAAACAGACATTACGAAAAGGGGAACGGATGTGAAACAGGTTTTGTGAAAAAGATGAACTTAACATTGGGAAATAGTGCTGTAATCCCACGAAGGGTGACATAAAGACCACATACAATCTAGGGCTGCTCGATTATGGCAAAAATCATAATCTCGATTATTTGGGTCAATAACTGATATCACGATTATTAAAAACGATTATCCATTTATCATCCATTTATTTATTGAAAAAAAAGAATTTGAACAGTATGTTTTTAACAGTTGATTACCCTGAACTTTAAGTATAATTCAACTGAAAAACCAATTAAAAAAGAATATTAAATATATATATTTTTTTAAATTAATAAATACAAATAAAATAAATAATAATTTTATTTCGATTATGTTGTTTTCATAATCGTTGCAAGCCAAAATCGTTATTGCGATTAAAATACGATTAATTGAGCAGCCCTAATACAATCTCAACTTATTTTTATAGTAATCATTTCTACATAACACGAATATTTTTGCCAATATTACACTCATGTTTGAACAAATCGTTGGCAGACTCGACCAGTCTTCTGACTTGAAAGTAAAAGCCAAACACATCGACTGATGACTCTCCCAGGTAAAGGGTTTTCACCTCAATCATCTAGAGTGTTTGTTCAGGACGCCATGCCCTGCACTCACACAGGTTAACACAGAGAATCCATTTTAATCAGATTGCAGTCGTCCTACCTTTTGAAGGACGGCTCTTTCTAGTGAATCCGCCTTCATCTGCTCCATCCTCAGGCTGGCGCCCAGTGCCACACCCTCAGCGTTGGCCTTGGCACGTACCTGTGCTATGTCCTCGTTAGCCCTGTTAGAGAGGAAGTGAAGGAGACAAAGGAGGCCGTCAAATCAAGAGTCTGGTCTTGATTTGCAAGATGAAGAACGTGCCCGGTGATTGAGTGACATGGAAGCTTACTTGTCCAGTTTCTCCTCAGCGTGCACCTTGAGGGTTTGGTATCGCTGCTCCTCCTGCTTGATCCGCATCAGGTAGTCCTGCGCACACCTCTTCAGCACCTCCTCATTCTGGACGGATTAATGAAGAGAATATGAAGTGATCCGGCTATTACGTGGCAGCAGATTTAATAGCGTTTTATTACTGAAGCTCTACTGACCTTCTTAAAGCCCTCCAGGACCCCCTTCATGTTCTCGTACCTCCTGAAGAGGTCAGCGAAGGAGCGCTCCACAGAGTTGAGGTCGGCTATTGCCTGGTCCCTCTCCAAGGTCAACTGTCTGACAGACTTACTGCAGGACAGAGTCTTCTGGTTCTGCTCGTCCTCTGCAACATACAGAGGATGGAGCAAAAGATTTAAAGGGTAAGATGTGGAAGAAATCTTAAAGGCTGAAGACAAAGGTTGGCAGTGTTTGCTTTCAGGGCTCCTAACCTTTAGCACAGCTGACCTGAGGAACTTAGACTACAGAAACCCCCTGATCTCTTTAACTCATCTTTCAACACTCACTTCTACAGTTTGGATATTTTTCCATTTTAAATCTGTGTATCTTTTATCATTTTATTTGAGTTTATAAGTTTACAAGTGGTTCTTTTGCACAGGCTTTTACTACTGCTGTTGTATTTGTTATTTCTATATGTGGACTATGTTTTTGTTTTCTCCCTTGCTTTTTTTGTCTTTGTTTTGAAATGATCATTACAAATGAAGTCATTATTATTTATTATTCTAGGAGATCAGCAACAAATATAATGGTTTTATTAAATTCAAGTAAAGTCAATCCAATTATTTCATGCAATCTTACAATCTTAGCTGAGGGTTTTATTCTCTTATTTTAACTGGAAGAACCCGCATTTTAGTCATGTTTTCTAATGACACAATGCTTGGGGGGTTGTCATGAAAACCACAAACTACTTACTCTATAGTCCAGGGTTATTCAATTGGCGGCCCGCAGGCCAAATCCGGCCCCGAGGTGATATTTACTGGCCCTTTGAGTATAATGTTAAGTAAGTAATATTTTCTTTTGGGTCAGAGTGCCTTTATTCCAGAGAGGGTGTTACATTGAGAGATAGAGGGGAAGACATTGCCTGAAAACTTCGGCGGGCTCGGGTTTCGAACCCACCTACTAGCTACTGTAGTGACAACTGTCATTGATTGCATCTCTGCGTGAATGATTAGATCATTTCACCTAAATTAAATCAAATGAAATGATGTTGATGGTTAAATTAGCTTCACATGTAGGCCTACTGAGTTCTGAACTTGCCATTTAGATCTAGAAAGGCCTTGGGGCTATGTTGTTTGATTTAATTAAACACAATATATGCACTCCACTATGCTGTTGTAGTATTTACTGTATCTGAAGCTCTTAATATGATTGCTCATATTTCAAGCCATCTTTTTCCCGGCCCCTTGCTTTGGATCATTTTCATCAACCGGCCCCATTCCAAACTAATTGAATAGCCCTGCTCTTGTCTATACAGTAAGCCAGGCATTCTGAAGCCAGAAGACATTAAACAAAAACAACATATACCACCACCAGGGGGCAGCCACTCACCAATCATCTGTGCAACTGTTTTCTCATACTCTGCAACTATGTTCCTGTCAAGTAGAAAAACAGAATGTTCACAAATTATCAATGTTGTTTTTTTCAATGTATTAAGACAGGTTTCTTTGCAGTTGTACTTTCAAATGAAGCAAACATCTAGGGAAACAGTTCCATACCTCATCTCCAAAACCTCCAATCTGCTGTCCTCATACTTCTTCTTCCACTCATTGACCTCAATCTCCTTAGTGATGATCTAATTGGACGACAGGACATGAAGAAAACAAATATTCAGAAATAAATCAATCTGCAGATGCTCTTTATGGAGAGAAACTTGCTGTGACATACCTCCTCTCTGATCAGGGTGAGCACTGCGGCCTTGTCCATCTCACTCAGAAAGATGTGGTCCTGGGACAGGGCGGCAGCGTCTGAGCCCTCACTGCTGGCCATCTTTGTGGAAAGCTTCATGGACATCTCACTCTGTGGAACATGCAGAGAACATACTGTTTAAGTCCAAGATCTGACAAAATAACATCCACGATCATGCTACTTCTGCTGTTTCTACTGTTCTTATTAGATCACATGATGTCTGTGCAAAGAGCGATGCAAGAAAACAGTTCTCAGGGGTGTTGATTTTATTAATCAAACATTTGTAAAAACCTAAAGCGTGCTCATCTTAGACAAATATTGCGTGAGGAAAAACGTTTACATCAAAAAATTGATATTGGAGCGTGAGAAAGCAAAACACAGGGTTCATACACTTTTTCACCAATGATTTTCAATGACTTCTCCATGACCTTTACTGAATTTTCCATGACCAAAAAAATTACTCTTTCTCAGCGGTACCACCGAAAATTGTTTATTTTAACATGGAACAGGAAAATAAGGTCTGCATATGAAACATGTTGTGCCTATCTAAAACAAATCAAATAGTAGGCTTACTAGCTTCTACACGCTAAAGCAACTAAAATCTCTCACCAGCAAAATACCTCGTCAGTTAAATGCCATTTTACGTTTCAGTACTATACGATACAGTATTTATTAGATGGATAAAATATAAATTATATTTGATGCAACTTTAGTTACTTTTCCAAAACTTTGGGAAAAATATTGTTTTCCATAACTTTTCCAGGGCCTGGAATTAGCATTTTGAATTTCCATGACTTTTCCAGGTTTTTAATGACCGTAAGAACCCTGAAAACAGTCCGTTAATGGCTGAACTATCTTCTTACCAATTGAAATAAAGAACAGTTTTGCGGTCATCTTTAAATATTCATACTGAGGTACCCAAACTACTACTACTTACTATATCACTTTTCAGACTGCAGATTTCCTTCTCCTCTGGGTGATCTGTAATCTTTGTCTCAGGATCTTTGAGGAAAAAAAAACATTTAAAGATAAATGGCAACTTTTTTATGTTGAAAAACCCCATATCTGAGTTATACTAAGTTATAATCCACACAGTAGCATATTACTGTGCTCAATGTCACTTCATCTTAGAAAAATATGGCAGTATTTGTCTAGTTTTCATGAGATTGTGTTGTTTCCATGGTTAAAATATAGTGTGATTCTTGCACCACTGATGCAGACCAATTCTAATACACAACTATGGGAGATATTCACAGTGTAACACGTCTTACTTTCTTACATTCAGGCCTGGGTTGTGAGTGTGAATTCTCCATTTAATTCCTGCCTAAAGTTTGATACATTCTTAGGGCTTTGTAATTTATACATACTCTATCTATACTCCAAACAGAAGTTGCTGAGAAAATCATGAAACGTTATCCCTTTGCTTGTTGACAGTTTCCAATTCATGCTGGTGTTGGAACTGGCACCTCTCTGGGCATGCCTGCCTCTTTAACACCATGCCTCATTCATACACTGTTTTTTTTATATATTGCATGCTTCATAAAATACTTATCACTGCCAACTTTGTCTATTTTTAAATGAGCACCCAGTGGAGAGTTTGAAACATACCATCCTTAAGACATATATCATCGATTGATTTATCGACTGTCTGTTTTTTCGGAGGTGCTTTGTTGCACTGGGGTTCTCCTCTCTCCTCCTGGATGTCTGCTGTCTGGCTCAACATGCCGGTGCAGGCGAGCTTCTCCTCATCAGTGGCGTGATGAACTCGCTGAGTGATCTCTGGGGTCGAGGCCACCACCTCCTCCTCCTCCTCCTCCTCCTCCCCCTGGAGATCAGGGAGACAGATAGGAGCCTTGTGTCATACTTCCATATCAAATATCAATTAAAAAAACAACAACCTTATACTCTTTTTGTACTTCTCTAAAAAAAAAGGTTTATTAAATGTATCAAATATGAAATGGACGGACTATGGAGAGGAAGTGTAGTATATACACAATGTCTTGAGTATATCTGCTGCACTACAGACCTGGAGCCGCTGCTGGTGCTCATGTCAGCTTCAATCAAAGTGTGTGTGTGTGTGGTGTGTGTGTGGTGTGTGTGGGTGTGTGTGGTGTGTTGTGTGTGTGTGTGTGTGTGTGTGTGTGTGTGTGTGTGTGTGTGTGTGTGTGTGTGTGTGTGTGTGTGTGTGTGTGTGTGTGTGTGTGTGTGTGTGTGTGTGTGTGTGTGTGTGTGTGTGTGTGTGTGTGTGTGTGTGTGTGTGTGTGTGTGTGTGTGTAAAAGTTCGGCCGAGAGGTTAGACCGCTGCTGAATAATGGGAAATGCAGTGTCACTGCAGTAAGGTGTAACATTTCAGATAAAAAAGCTACCGTTACCTGATCGCACACTTCAAGCACCAAGGACTGGCTCTCATCATATTTCTGCACTTTACAGGAGTTCCTACAAAACAAAAACAGCATGATTCAAGATTCAGAATATATAGAACAAAAGTAAGGATTCATAAGAATATAACAACTGTTTCTACAACCATATAGCTGCAAGCATTTTAATGCATATTAATAGATGGTCCAAAAATAAGCTAGATAGACTATAATTATACTAGCGCTGCCAAACTTCTGGAGGGATCACAAGACGGGACACATTAACTTGATGATGTATGGCCTTGTGAGTTGAGGTGCAAGCAATGATTATTTCTCTTAAATGCTCCTCCAACAGCTCAGCACATGCCAAGATGAGAGTAACATGGCAAGCCAGCATGCAGTAAAGAGAGCTTAGATAGTAAGAGTACTTACAACAGAAAACAGAGAAACTTGACTTGCTCAGATGTCCCCGGGCTAATAGAGGTGGACGAAAGCAGAGGTCGGGGGGGTTGCGTAACAGACAAGAGGAGGAAGGATGAAAGATGAAGGGGATATTGATTTAGGGAATGGATCAGGGGGAAGAGACAAAGGAGAGCGTGTGAGTGGCTTAAGGCGTTGATCGGCATGTTAGATAGTTGAAACATTAAGCAAAACCCAAGATGCCCACAGACCTGGAAAAGTTTAAATTAGCATTGCAGCTATAAACACTTCTGAAGGCCTATATATATCCTGTTTGGGAATTGCATCAATGGCCAGTATGCAGTGTTAAGTGCTTAGCGTTAGTTCAAAGCAAAAATTAGCTGCCAACACATCCAGCCTAAGAAAAAACGTAGTGGAGTTGATCTAAACCTCATATGACAGAGTATCACCTTTTATTATTGTTTATAATGTTACAGCCTCAAAATGGCAAACTCTTGGAGTAAAATAGAAAAGGTTTTGTTCTCCTTTAGACTTACTCGATTGCCCTCTCTTTTTCTTTCTTGGGAATCTGCCTGGCTTTCTTCTCTCCCGCCGGTTTCACTACTTTAGGTTTGCCCACGTCTTTCACTTTTTTCTCCGGCTGAGGGGCACTGCTGGACGAGTCCTCGTTGGTAGTATTTTTGGAGGATTTAAAAGGGTCCACAGAGTCGTCAAAATTGTCTGGATCAAAACTGTAGGAGCTCTTAGGGAGCACTGGAGTGCTGCTCGCTGTGCTGTTGCTACCAAACGGATTGAAGTTGGGGTCGTCCCACTGATTGGGATCAAAGTTATAGGCTCCTGATTTAGGCATAGGAATATCGTCTACGTTAAGAGTTGCAGTTGAGTCTGAAACTGGCAAAGCAGTTTCTGGAAGAGGATCAAAAACCGGTTCTGACACTGTTTGAGAAACTGGTTCTGTGATAATGGGTACTGGTGCTGGTTTAGAAACTGGTTCTGTGATAATGGGTTCTGGTGCTTGTTTAGAAACTGGTTCTGGTGCTGGTTTAGAAACTGGTTCTGTGATAATGGGTTCTGGTGCTGGTTTAGATGAAGCCTCTGACGCTTTGGCCTTCTTCTTAGCTGCCAGTTTCTTTTTACCACCTAATTTCCTCGGAGGTGGCTTGGTGACTGTCCCCTCGTCCAAACCAAACTCGAGCATTACGGACTTTGCCTCTGACGACGACGACAATGACAACTCAGCTTCTACTGGAGGGGCTGCGCTGTCCTCACATGCTGGCAAAGAGCAACCGATTGGCTCTAGTCTGGGAAAAGAGCTGGAACCAAACGGTGGGGGAGAGTTCTGGATTTTGGATCCGCCGCAGGTGAAAGGGTTAAAGCCGTCATCCAACTGGTCAGGGTCAAATTTGTAAGTGGCCTTGGGAAGAGGAAGTTCCTGTTCCTCAAATGTTTGGGGAGGTTCGTCCACTGAAGCCTTGACCTCGAGTGATGGAGGCTTAGACTTCCTGTGTTTAGTCTTTTGAGGGGGCTCTGTCTGGTCAAGGCCATTGCACTGTGGTTCTGGGTCAGCCAGAGGTTTCTGCTCAATGCAATGGAATGGCTCTGGTTCTGGGGTAGGAGCAGGAAGAGGAGCAGGATCAGGAGATTGAGCTGGAGCTGGAGTTAGAACTGGATCTAGAGCTGGAGCTGGATCTAGAACTGGATCTAGAACTGGATCTAGAGCTGGAGCTGGATTTAGAGCTGGAGCTGGATCCAGAGCAAGAGCTCGATCTAAAGCTGGATTTAGAGCTGGATCCAGAGCAGGAGCTGTATCTAAAGCTGGATCCAGAGCAGGAGCTGTATCTAACGCTGGATCTAGAGCTGGGGCTGTATCTAAAGCTGGATCCAGAGCAGGGGCTGTATCTAACGCTGGATCCAGAGCAGGGGCTGTATCTAACGCTGGATCCAGAGCAGGGGCTGTATCTAAAGCTGGATCCAGAGCAGGGGCTGTATCTAAAGCTGGATCCAGAGCAGGGGCTGTATCTAACGCTGGATCCAGAGCAGGAGCTGTATCTAAAGCTGGATCCAGAGCAGGGGCTGTATCTAAAGCTGGATCCAGAGCAGGGGCTGTATCTAACGCTGGATCCAGAGCAGGAGCTGTATCTAAAGCTGGATCCAGAGCAGGAGCTGTATCTAAAGCTGTATCTAAAGCTGGATCCAGAGCAGGAGCTGTATCTAACGCTGGATCCAGAGCAGGGGCTGTATCTAAAGCTGGATCCAGAGCAGGAGCTGTATCTAACGCTGGATCCAGAGCAGGAGCTGTATCTAAAGCTGGATCCAGAGCAGGGGCTGTATCTAAAGCTGGATCCAGAGCAGGGGCTGTATCTAACGCTGGATCCAGAGCAGGAGCTGTATCTAAAGCTGGATCCAGAGCAGGAGCTGTATCTAAAGCTGTATCTAAAGCTGGATCCAGAGCAGGGGCTGTATCTAACGCTGGATCCAGAGCAGGGGCTGTATCTAAAGCTGGATCCAGAGCAGGAGCTGTATCTAAAGCTGGATCCAGAGCAGGGGCTGTATCTAAAGCTCGATCCAGAGCAGGAGCTGTATCTAACGCTGGATCCAGAGCAGGGGCTGTATCTAAAGCTGGATCCAGAGCAGGAGCTGTATCTAAAGCTGGATCTAAAGCTGGATCTAGAGCTGGATCCAGAGCAGGAGCTGTATCTAAAGCTGGATCTGGAGCTGGATCCAGAGCAGGAGCTGTATCTAAAGCTGGATCTGGAGCTGGATCCAGAGCAGGAGCTGTATCTAAAGCTGTATCTAAAGCTGGATCTAGAGCTGGATCTAGAGCTGGATCTAGAGCTGTAGCTGCAACTAGGACAGGCGCCGGGACTTGGAATGGCTCAGAGGATACAGCTGTGCATTCAGGCACTTCAGGCTCTTCATTCACTAATGATGGTGCAGGGGCAGAGCCCAAGGCCTCTGGGACATTATCTGGTTGCCGTGCGGGCAGTCTCTCAAAGTTTACCTCCAGAGGGTCACCCATGGGCGCCACAGGCTCATCCTGACCCATGTTGTGGCTGAGCCAAAAATCCTGATCCAACACAGGAGCAGTCACTATCAGCTGCTCCTCCTGATCCACATCTAAAGAAAACATTTGAGGAAAAAAAAGAATTAAAAAAAATATATATTCAAATGCACAATATCAAAATTGCATTCATATTTCTTGCCTATAATTATCTCTCCAATCAAATCTAAACTCAGATGTTAGTGACATCTGATTGGTTCCTAGCCAGCTAACTGTTCCTTTTGCTGCTGTTGCCATGGCGATGTCCTACTAGAAACTCCATGATATTTAAACCAAGTAGTGCATTAACAAAAAAGAGAAAAAAAATAAAGACCTATGATTTATTTTTAGTTGTGTTGACAACAACAGGGCCAGAGGGGGGGTGGGGGGTTGAGTTATTATAGCCTCCAGGGAACCCTTTGACACATCAACATATTTCACTACGCCTGTCATACTCGCCATATTCATGTAATATTATGTTGCTAGGAGACTAGCACAGTCTGCTGTGTTCCTACCTAACTCTCACATTAGCAGAGTGTCCTTTTCAAAGTAATCCTGCAGTCCAACATGCCCATACAAAGATTTCATCATCCAAATCTACATGAATATTCAATAGCAAAGTACAGGACTCCTTGGTGTTCTCTCACTTGTTTTTTTATAAAGGGAGGAGCATGTGGAAGCAGGAATAAACCTCACTTGGCTGCAGGAAAGTGCAATATGTGGTCTAATTTGCTTAAGTCAATTATGGTTTTGCATGCGTTATACATTACATGTTACTTGTTAGATGCTTTTATCCAAAGCGACTTACATACTCAATACTGTGGACAATCCCCACAGGAGCAATTTGGGGTGAAGTGTCTTGCCCAGGGACACAACGACATGCTGACTGCAGTGGGGTTTGAACCTGTGCTCCCCTGATCCGAACACCAACACCCTCCCCACTGCGCCACACGCCTTATACATATGCATACTTAATTTTTTCAATAAAAAATACTTTGCACCTGTGATTAATAGTTATTTACAGTCAAACACTTATAATTATTATTAATTAAAGCACTTTGTTTTTAAATCACAACAATTTTAAATAGTACTCAAATAGTAAATATAAAAAAATATATAGAATTCAAATGGATTGCCAAATGTAATTTTATCATTCATTTCACCACAGATGCCTCTTTCTATTTAGGAGACATACTATAAACAACCCTTAATTATCCATTTGTTTATTACCACTACGTGCCTTTTTGGTCCTGACAAAAGTATTAAAGTATTTAACAACAGTCCCCATGCAATATACTCATGCTGATGCAGCGATGGAGACTTTGGAAGGGCTTACACAGACATAGCCATTAGCATGTTTACATTTAAAGGAGTTTCTAGAGGCACTTCAACTCCCGCCTGCCAAACTTCCTCATTCACAGCTGCAGGAAGGGATGTTTGTGGGTTAAAACAAAAGTGAACTCCCTCTTCGCTACCCAACGGTTGACCTGAACAATGTGCACGTTTGAAAATGTTGTTGTAGCCATTTTACAGGAAGGATTTACTCCTACCAATGCTGCCTCACGTCAACACATGGGCCGTTTCTCAATGTCGAGTAAACCTGCTGCAGAGACACTATTTCAAGTATACTACGTCATCGAGTGGCGCCGAAGGACTGTTTAAATGCATGTTAAATGCCCAGCATTCGGCGCCACTCGATGACGTAGTATACTTGAAATAGTGGCTCTGCAGCAGGTATACTCGACATTGAGAAACGGCCATGGTCTCCTCAAAACCTCCTTAAAAAGCGGGCTGCATGATAGTAACAGCCTGATAACAATCTTAGTTCAGTCCCTCCCCTATCAGTGACCAATTCAACACGAGGTGAACCAAAGCTTTTGTTGAACCTGTTGAATTCCAGAGCGGAGGCCGTGCACTCTCTGCTCCAGGCTCCTCCTCTTAGTGATTCAATTGACAGCGCTGTCACCATCATCACACCCAAACCTCAGAGTGCATACCTTCTGACATACCAAACATGTTTCACTGCTTAGGTGTTACTCACCTTAGTTACCGCTAATAAAAACATTGCAATTCATCACATTGAAAATTGTGTAACAATATTATGGATTATAATCAATGTCTATAATCAAACAAACTTATGATGCATTAAATAAATTGCATATAGTATATAATAACAATGCATTAAGGCATTATAGAAAGATTATGATGTACTACAAGTATAAGAATTATAATGCACTATGGTCCTTGCAAAAGAAGAGTCAATAAGTATATAATATCTAACCTTATCAATTATTATAAAACGATTTATGATGGGCTACAGTGTGTTAGGATTATTGAAAGTGTTAATAACTAATATACAGTACTTTAAGCTGATTTTGTATGTTTGTAATGCATAAAGAGAAGGCCATCATAAAAACTGTGACTGAAAATCTAATATTGCCATAACTTGTCATGGTATCTTTACTTACAGGCCGATAAAGTACAATCAAAGGTAAAATGCAGAAGGCAGGTACATTCGGTACAAAGTCAGACTGCATATGTATCCAATTACTCTGGTGTGGTGAACCTGATACGCCTCGCACAGTTCAGGCACAGAAGCGGAGTTAATCTAAACCAGTATGTGCTATTTAAATGATTATTTTATCATATAAAGATGACGGAGTTGATGCATTTAAAAAGCAATTTTCCTTTTGTTGACTATCAAAGTGTCAGCCAAATGAAATGTAATGATGTCTGAATATTCAGGAACATAAAAGGACTCCTGACTTCAACATAGACTCCTGTTACCATGGCAACTTCAACGAGGGACACTGGGTTTATAATATGTATATCAAAAGTACATTTCTTTCAAACTGTTTAATACTAGTTTAATGTTAATGAGAACAGCCTGCTACCGGGGGTGTTTCTGCAACGTGATTTCTCAGTGTCTTTTGCTCAGGAGTTGCCCCACCTGTTTTGTCTGCATCAGTGTTGTTGTTCTCCAGCTCTTCGGGGAAGGTTGAAGGAGCGTGGACAGGAGATGATGCTTCAGGAGTTTCAAAATGACTCTCTGAGTCAGAGCTGTGGAACCCAGAGAGAGAGAGAGAGAGAGAGAGAGCGTGCACTTTACAAAACATGAAAAAGCAGTAGGAAAGAAAATATTCATTATATAACTGAGGAGTAGTGATCTCAATATAAACACTATGTACTCTAAAAGACTCTACTTAATTAGCACTGGATTGAGATGTGCAATATGTGCAAGTGTAAGGACAAAAGCAAATCATTCACATTGTACAAGATGTTCCCTTCTAGGGTTGTTCTATTTTCATACTTTTTACAGGGGGGAACTATCAATTCAGAGAAGCAAAGATGGTGCTGAACCTTGATGAACCTTAACAAGTCTCTACTGTCCCAGATCTGTCTATATTACACCTAACTCTCTCCTTTGATGCTGTATTGGGCTTCGGCAACACCCGGCACTATTTGATTCATGCTAGTAATGTAGACAAAGATTAAGATAAGATAAAGAGGAAGAGGAAATAGGGCAGACCACTCTTTCCTGTCAAATCTATAGCACTATTGTTTGAGACGGCACCCTACAAATGATCTTTATGTATGAATTTTAAAATAAGATGTGAACATTGCAACTGAATCCAGCCGTCAACACACTTTACTCGTGATTTAACATTGTAAAGCAGCAACATTCAATTTTGATTAGATCACTTCAGGAAGCCATATCACAGTGCGTTCATTATTGGTTAGATAACTGCTGATAGTAAACAAACATTGTGGCATTTGAGGCTAGAGTGGTGATAGATTATCCGGTCAATCACATATCTAAAGTGTGGGAGAAAAAGTAGTGGGGTAAACATTTACTTTGAACAAAGGCAGAGATAACGTTATCAAAGCAGACCCGAGGATAAGAGACAGGATAGGGTGATGCTTTGACCATGTGTCATGTTCCTGAGCAATGATTACATCATTCAACTAAACCTGTACCTTGCTGCATTGCTGGAGTGTGTGTTATATTTCTGTGCAGCCACAGAAATGAGGATGTAGTGCCAGCAAGAAAAACATTCAGTTCAAACACATGGCATGAACCAAAGCCACACCAGAAATGTGTCAGCGCTGCATGGCAACATAACATATCTGACATCTGACATTTAAACAACAACAAAACAGAGATTCCTCAACCTGACAGGTGCACACACACACATGGACATACATGTGAAAATGCCCCCTCCTCCAGTTCAGACAGTGTGAAGCACAACACTTGCCTGTAGCTTTGAGATCTCTCCTCCTCCTCCTCCTCCTCCTCTTCCTCTCCAAGTTGCTGCCTCTCTTCGCTGGCTTCATGCCCCTCTTCATCCTCCTCTCCCTCTCCCCCTCGCACTGCCGTCCACGTCCATTTGGCCCATGACACGGGTGACAGCCAAGACATCACTCCTCTTTCCACGGGGGCTATTCAACCCTCTCTCGAATCAAAGGACTCCCTGAACTGTTTTCCAGGGCCTGACGTAAACCCTTTTCTGTGTGTTTCTCCTTAGATTTCCACCCTGCCAAAGGCTCTCACATCTTCCCACAGAGGTTCTCTCTTCACATGAGTTCGCAGATGCCAATGAAATGAAAAATCATTTATATTCCCCCTCTTCAATTTGTAAAGCCTCCGTCTTAAAATCATAAATTCTTCAGGTGCCTTCTCTTATCTTCTTCCAGTCACGCTCCCCCTGCCTCTGCCTCGATGGCAGAATACCACAGCTCTGATCAGCTGGGTTTCAAAATGCTGTTCTCCCTCTCTCCTCTGCTGAGCACCCCCTCCCAACCTCCATCTCGGGCTGGTCCACCGATAAAAAACACAGCGGGGGAGGCAGGAAGCTTGAAGCTCTGAACATGAATGCAGCTTCGGTTACTCAACCACATGAGTTCCCCTGTGGTTGGACAATGGTACGATCCTGTCAGTCCGCTCTACCACTCTGAAGCAAAAGGAGGGAGTCAAAAAACAAACACAGAAGGTGGAGGAGGAGCTGGACTGTTGGGGCTCCACGTTTTATAGCCCATAGAGAGGGTAGGAATGTGGGGCTAGTTCTTAAGCCTTCCCTGCTCCCCCAGGCTGTTAAACAGTTAACTGTTTTCTCCCATCCAGTTGCAGGCAGGCATGCATGACCGGGGGAACCAGTTTTGTTATAGCCCCAGGAGATCTACCTGATTCAATTTGTCTGCGGTTCAGACCACATAACAGACAGGGATCGAGGGCCTTCAATGCACTCATTAAGGGATCGTAAAGACCCTTTGTTGTTTTTGACACGAGCACACATTGCACTATATTTTTCTGTTTATCTGTGTTATTGTGTTGCACTGTTGGAGAAGCCTGTGACCTAAGATTTTCATCGGCATAACTACACTGTAGCTATGTTCGTATGACAAAATAAAGAACCTTGAACCTTGAACATTGTTGAATGCTTTTAAGACAAAGAAGAATAACACAAGAGGACTGTTCTCTTAACTGCAAAAACCCAAGAGCCACTCATTAGTATCAACAACGGACTCTCCATGTAGATTAAAAGGCCCTTGACACACACAAAGATAAACAGCTTGTGGAAATAGTCTCAATCCGAAACACAGCTTCTCGTGATCTATTAATACCAGCTGATGATGGTGATGTGATATTATTAAATGTTCTTGTCAAACTGTACTTTTTCAGGAGTTGCGCTCTTTATGGCACCACTGACCAGTGGTGTTCCCCAGGGCTCCATCTTTGTCCCCCTGTTGTTCTCTATCGACTAGCTCTCACTGGGACACAACATTTGTTTATATTGTTACAAGAATGAAACTCAGTTATTTTGCCCAAACTTTTGAAAGCCACCTATGTCACCTAATCTCTTTTCTATCAGAAACCCAAGACCTGGATGTCTCAAAACCAGTTAAATTAAAAATAAATTTCGACTCCACTTCGAGCGATAGAATTACTATCAAAGCACTTATATACTAACAAAGGACTGGCTTATCTAAAGCCAGTTGAGTAGCACTTGAAATGTTTTGGCTCTATGAAACCTGATGTACTTATAGGATTCTGTTTTCTTCAAGTTTGTATCTTCTTGGTCGAATGCACTTATTGTAAGTCGCTTTGGATAAAAGCGTCAGCTAAATGCAATGTAATGTAATACATCTTGTTTATTAGTGACCTCTCTTGTCATAACTGTTTTCTAATCATGCTTCCTTCCATATATTATGAAAAGCTCTTTAAGTGTATTCATATATTTATATCTAATGTCATGATTATTTAAGTCACTGTTTTCAAGGTTTAGCCACAGCACAATCTCTCCCCTATAGTTATAAAACAAATGATAGCTGGCTCCTATTACTGAATTGCTGCTCCCTGATGAGCCAAAGTGCGGTTTCAGATCTGACTGAGCCCTAACTCAAAACTAATGGTGCCCGTTTTGTTTTTGTGGTTAGGAATGCTAGTACAAGAACTTCTTCTTAGAGAATCAGTAACATGTTTTACTTCTAACCTGTCTTTAAAAAAACAACATATTTGTGTCACTTAAGTTGTAATACTATATGTATTATCTGTCCCATTAGTTTATTTCACACTTTATATTATGTTATGATTTAAAGGTAGTTAATTATTTGTATTTTTAGTGGCCTTATTTAATTTAATTGTATTGTGCTGTCTACAAACAATTTTGATATGTTAATTTCCAAAGCAAAATGAAACACACAACATAACTTCAACATGCCCACAGCTTGTGTGCTTTTTCAAGACCACCTGTATGATATACTTACTGTTTTGTTTTGTTAGCCTTTACATATAACATGCTAAGGCATCCTCTGTTTATTGTTTTAGAATACTGTACTCCTTCTCCAGAAACTTCTCTTAGGTTTGGTTTGGCAATACAACAGCTAAAACTCCTCCCAAATTCCAATGGAGGAGCAGAGACACACACACGTGCCTCAGTCAGACTCAAAGTTTCCACATTGGACCAAAAGGGTGGAGTTTGTCATTTGCCAACATATTTACTATCTGGCTTCTGGCGGGGCTTGAGGCTGGGGTGCAGCATCGATCCCTGCTTCATTGATCATGTGAAAGTGGTAGTGATGGGGTAGTAGTACAAAGAGATTATCACTGGAGTCCAATGATCAATGTGTGCCTTTATTCTGGGGATAGTTTATCTTTCCTGTCTGTTAAATGTTGGCTAACAAAAGCAGCAGTCCTATTTTTGAATTCACTGAACAACATTGGAGACCCTCAGTCGATAAGGCCTATTAGAACAAAGAATACGGTCTTAACACATATGAGGAGCCATCCTTGTTTATAATCCTTGATCAACACTCAGGTTTTATTTGAGTAATAAACAAAGATACAGCAAATTAATAACCTTGAATGGGAGGTGCGATTGTGGTGTGTTTTCTGCTCTATGGATGTTATTTTTCAAAATAGAAATGGGAAAGATATTAAACTCTGTTTACTTAGGTTCTTGTCTTATTCTTAATGGTTGCTTGTTGCATTAAGGGTTCAAATTACCATCCATCTAACATAAACTCATAACTTTTAATTGCCATTATTTTCAGGAACACACTTAAAACCTGAAGTGAGCACCTCCGTCTTTTTCAATCCTTTCAAAACAAACCAATTGTTCCCACAGATGACAGCTTTATGTCTGTTTTTTCTAGTCTAAAAATGGCATCAATACACATCAGTAAGTAGCGTGAGGCAGCTGTGTGTATGTTTCCAGATAAAAGACCACCACAGCCACCAGACGTCTTGACTAGGAGTGAAGCTCCACCAAAATCAAAACACAACACGAAAGAGCTCAGATTTCAAACAATGAGGGAGGAACCCAAAAGCCTATTTTAACAAAAAACAGAAAGTGACTAAAAGCAGAAGGAAAAACAAGTCTGGCCTCTTCTCTGTTGCCACAACAACTCAAAATCTGCCCGCGTCTGTCCAAATGTGACTAATGACACATTTCTGTTTAGTCTCCATGTCAGGCTTAACATTTAGTAACAATATTTTCCTGACAAAGCTGCCCTGTCCCTTAACAGCTCAAGTGTCTGAAAGAATGCAGACATACTATGTGCACATAAGAACATGATATATTTACTCTGTGTCTTCTTCAGTAGCATAGATTAAACACACTTGCCATAAATAGAAACTGTGTCTCATTTTTAGAAGACAATAGTGGAGCAACATCCTTACACATAGCCCCTCCTTGGAGCCTAAAATAAGTGTAGGCACAAGAGAGTAGGAAGCAGATCAAATGTGACTAGAAGAATTGTTTTGTGTGTTTTGAGTATCAAAGGAGGAAGAGGAAGGATAAGTGGAACAAAGGCCACTGATAGAGATAATGTGTGCAACAATAACCATATGTTTGTAGTCCTGATTTGCCCTTACACAAGTGAGAGGCAAACTAAAGTGTCAGCTCTCTAATATACAGTATGGATAGTGACAAACAGTCATCAACTAACAGCAAGGTACTAGCTGAACATGTTTCGATTTGACTTTAGATTGACCACATCCTGTCAGAAATGAGCAACTACGGTACCTTATCAAGCCATGAAAAGACACGATTTCACTCTGAGCTGAACAGAATCAGTGTGCTGCAGCAACATCTAGTGGGGAAATTGCATAGGCACACTGGCACAGTGCACCTAGAAAAGACAAAAAACATTGCTGAAAAGGCATTGACCTATTCCGATTGCAACAAACATCATCAATTTAAATACCTAATTAACAATATATAAACACCAATACAAACCAACCTTTTACCTAATATGACATCAGCTGATTTGGAGCTTTAGTGGTGCGTATTCTATTCTCAAGTAACTTTTCAAAGAAATTGACACTAATTATTTGACCCCAAGGATTGTTTTGGGGGGCCTCATCACATAAACCTAGCTGGTAATCCAGGTTTATTTGCCATTGACTTCCCTTTAATTTAGCACTTTTTATACTGTGCAACTATTCTTGCCTATTAACTGAGAATCTTAGCACACTCATTACAAGAGACTCTAAAATCTAAAAGATTTAGAAGTCAATATCGTTTTTACATGATAAGTATTCTGTACTAAAATCAAGCTAATTAGCATTCACCTAATGGTGTGTAAACGTGTAAACCAGTGAAAGTTATTCTGCGGAAAATAATTTCATGGACTATCTGTTGTCCACTGCACTCTAAATTAATACATACAGAACAGTGCGTTTGTGAGAAGTGAGAGTAAATTGAGCTTTGTATGCTATCTTGTGACACTTACCCGGCTCCATAGTAAAATACGTTGCCGTAAAGACCATAGTTTAGACCAAGAGCAAGTACATTACGATACGGTCATTTGAACATAAATAGGATAAAAGACGAAATAAATGTACTAAATAAACTAGTTTGCTGCTAAACTATGAACATTGTTTCGTCGATGGGTGGCAGTACGTTTCCCGAGGATGTGTCAGATTTATAAGAAGTCCGCCAAGCCCGAAGAAGAAGCACTTCCGTTGTGACGTAATATTTTAGCCATAGCAAATGGCGGTTGAAAAGGGTGGACAGTAAACACGTTTATAACTGTAACTGTTTAAATATCATCAAAACATGTACTCGAGTGTGTCGGATTTACAGAGCAGTTACAACATGTTTATTTTCAACTTTCAGGTGGGTTCATTTGTCGTGCTGACTGGAAATTCACTGCCAAAGACACGAAAACGACGCAAACGGTAAGAAAAGTTACACTTTATGGCAGGGCTAACTTTAGCTACAGCGTTCGGTTGGCACAGTAACGGTCAGCGGCAGAGGTGGGAGAAGTACTGTGATCTTGTAATTAAGCAAAAGTATGTACTTAGTTACTTTACACCACTGGGCCAAATTAGGGTCAGTGGTCTGTTAAAATATGTGCCTAATTAGGGCTGGTGCTGTGTAGAACAATTAATAGGCAGTGTTGGAGAAAGTATTTCAATTATTCTGAGTACAAGTACCAATACCATACT